ATATAACAATAATAACAATGTAACAAAAACATATAAACAATCAATACAAGAAAATAAATATAAAGTTTAGCCTCTGAATAGATAAGAGAATTGTTGGTTATTTTTAACTGACATATTGTTCTAAATAAATACACTACTAACCTACTAACCTCTACTCTATTGTATCGAATATAAGAACGTTAAAATAACACAGTATTAGAAAAAGATAATGAAATCCTTCCGTCGATATTTTACCTATCATTTATTAATCTAGCATATCATTAGGAAAGAGCAGTAACTGATTCAGGTTATTCATTTCATATACATATACATATATATGTATGTAGACAAACATCATACATATATATGTATCATACTGTGCAGGATGTGCAGTCAAACATCGGCAAACTCAATAAAAATAATTTTTTGACTGCACATCTTGACAATATTTTCATCCTTACATTGGTATAATGAAATTTATGATGAAAACCTGGATTCTTTCAAATAGTTAGGAATGACAAAAATAAAATAATAATAATAATAATAAAGTAGTTGTTGAGTTTATTTTTCCATTCCGAACTCCTCGGAGCATCCCAGGGATCCAACCTTTTCGTTCCAACTCGATTTATATATATATACAGGAGGCTTTCCTGTTTTGTTTTTTCAGACCGTTAATTTTAATTTAAAAAAAAAAAAGCATACAAAATTTAATTTTAAATAAATATATATATAGTAGTGACAGCTATTTGTTCATAAGTACCTAGGTAATGTTGCTATTGTTTAGGTTTACGAAAATAGTTCTACTATGAGATTCTAAATAACATGTATGACCTAATAATGTGATATTAAGAAGTCCAAAAAATTCTCTCCTTTTTATTTATTTTTTTATTTATTTTTTTATTTTTATTTTTTATTTTTTTTTTTATTTTATTTTTTTTTAAACGGTTGATTCACTGGGTTACATATTAGCCCTGGAGCCAGGGCCCAAAAATCGACCTGATCGCAGGCAAAGGTTTGATTGTAAATTGCGAAAGTGTATGTTATTCTGAGTAAAAAAAAAACCTTGTCTGCCGTTCCGGAGCCGCTGCCTTCAAAAATGGCGGCCGATTTAAAGAATATGAGGCCAATAATTTGAGGATCGAAAGGGGAAATCCATTGCGAAAAATGTGAGAAAAGTTTCTATTTTTTTAACTTGTATATATGGGTTTAAACATGTAAAAAACAAAATTACTAAGGCAGGCCACCAAGGGAAAACTTTTTACAGCCAAAAAAGTCAGATTTTTTCGATATTTTTTGGGTTTTTCATCTATAACTCCTAAACAATGCATCAAAGCGAAAAATGTGTTCTTTAATAAATTAAAGAACGTTACATTTTGCGTCAATCGAATACATAAACTTTAAAATTTGATTTCGCAGTAAGGTATAAAACCACGGTCAACCAACTCTGAGTTTTACCAAATTTGCCAAAAACTGGAACAAATTACTATAATTGGCCCTTTAACTTGGAAATGCGTTCCCTAAGAGGAAAAACCTATATAATCAAAGTTGTAGAGCATCAAATTTCGCATATACTCAGTATCAACTAATTTAATGTAGGTCACTTGCTGTGAACAAAATCGGTAATCTCCCGATGGCTAGAAATTGGTAATGAAGGTAAACGTTATTTTCAATATTTCAACAGTATAGGTGTCTATTCTACTGAGTTGGTTTTGTTTAAAGTCTGTTATATGCAATATAAGCCTCTTTTCCACCTCTCAACAGCAAAAGATTTTGGTAAACGGTGTGCCGAAAGATTCCGAATTTTATAAAGGAATAACGAATCCTGATTTGAGATCTATAATTGGCCAAAAACAAAAATGTCAGTACCCAGTATACGCAAAATTTGATGCCCTACAACTTTGATTCTATGAGTTTTTCCTCTTAGTTAACTCATTTCCAGGTTACAGGGCCATTTATAGTAATTTGTCTCAGTTTTTGACAAATTTGGTAAAACTCAACGTTGGTTGACCGTGGTTATATACCTTACTGCGAAACCAAATTTTAAAGTTTATGTACTCGATTGACGCAAAATTTAACGTTCTTTAATTTATTAAAGAACACATTTTTCGCTTTGATGGATTGTTTAGGAGTTATAGATGAAAAACCCCCAAAATATCGAAAAAATTTGACTTTTTTGGCTGTAAAAAGTTTTACCTTGGTGGCCTGCCTTAGCAATTTTGTTTTTTACATGTCTAAACCCACATATACAAGTTAAAAAAATAGAAACTTTTCTCACATTTTGCGCAATGGATTTCCCTTTCGATCCTCAAATTATTGGCCTAATATTCTTTGAATCGGCCGCCATTTTTGAAAGCAGCGGCTCTGGAACGGCAGACAAGGTTTTTTTTTACTCAGAATAACATACACTTTCGTAATTTACAATCAAACTTTCGCCTGCGATCAGGTCGATTTTTGGGCCGTGGCTCCAGGGCTATATGAACCGACCTGCTCTATTACCTTCTGCCATCTCCTGAAATAACATAAATTGAACTTTGTCTTCATTGAAAATATCTCTTTATATGGGAAATTCTAGAGATAGGTGCTATAGATAAGTTGATTTTACCACTAAAACTAACCCATCACTAAATTCCATTTCAAAATTTTTGTTGAATCTCGAAAAATGGATGGAGGTGAGCATGGAGTATAAAACACACTGTATGTGTATGTAAATATATATATATATATATATATATATATATATATATATATATATATATATATATATATATATATATATATATATATACTATTAAGATTATTATATATAGATTATTAAGTGTTTAGTGTCGTGTTTCATTGTAGTTAACAACTTTAAAAACTGATTCTGTAACTATCTCTAGAATTTCCAATAGAAGCACATATTTTCGCTAAAGATGATGTGTAATTTATATTATTTACAGCATGTCCAATTAAGCTAATTTTACTATCATATTATATTATTCTGGCCATATTTTTCCGAGGACAAAGTGTTGTAAAGATATGTAAAACAGTGTTGCCCAGAACAGGGGGACATGGCTCAAGTTGCGGCATCAACTTTGTGGGAATATTCAGAGGGGATCGATCATATTTCCTAGGGTTTGTTTCAATTTGGAGGGAAATTTCAAATCAAAGAACAAAGGAAAATAACTAAACTATTATTTTTATAATTCTACATTCAATTACACTGTTTTTTTTTGCAATAGGCTTCATATTGTTGTCGCGATCATGAATACGACGTAATGACTTCATATAATTGTTGATACATCAATATTAAATATGGATATTGGCAATACATTGGCCTAAAACATCGATTTCTCTTTACCATCCTTACTTATGTTTCTCATTTTATTATTTTGTATTTAAAGAGTCAGTGGAAGAAACCAGGTGTCATTTTTTTATTTTAAAATTTAATTATAGATATAAATGGTTTAGGGATGAATAAACAGTTGACTTTTGAAATTGTAAGGATGAAAAATGGTCAGGATGTGCAGTCAAACATCGGCAAACTCAATAAAAATAATTTTTTGACTGCACATCTTGACAATATTTTCATCCTTACATAGGTAAAATGAAATTCATAATGAAAACCTGGATTCTTCCAAATAGTTAGGAATGACAAAAATAAAATAATAATAATAATAAAGTAGTTGTTGAGTTTATTTTTCCATTTCGAACTCCTCGTAAGCTTGCACGTAAGAATCTAAAAACACTTTGATATTTCCAAAAACATCGAAAGTATAAGAATTTCTTAAGAAACAATATAAGACGAAAGGAAAAAAGATAAAAAAAAAAATAATAATAAAGGATAGACATAAAAAAAAAAGTAACTCCAGTGACTGATCACTTTTGGCAAATATGTTGAATTCTTAATTCTTGAATACACGTGTGTGCGTATATGTTAACGGTCAGTAATCTCAGTACTTCATACTGCGCCAACTGTACTTCCAAGTATGCTATGAGTGCACATCCTCAAATTATACTGACTCAGATGAAGATAAGTGAAACGAACACTGAGTCATAATATTCACTGATGAAAACAAGTTTCATAGGGAGATTCAATAGCTAAACGATTGTTGTATTACATCATGATTATATTCGTAATGACAAATAATTAGGGTACTCTTGAGTACTGTACTCCATTATTTTTTATAAGGAATTTTAAATCGTTATTTACTTCGATTAAAAGGTAATCATTTATTCGATGAATCGTTTTATTCCCTTCTAATGACAAATAAATAAATAAAAATTGTACAACACAACTGACTTATTTAAATTTATTATTGAACCAAGGTGAAAGTTTCATTGGCCGAATAATCGTTCAAAGAAGCCGTAACTCCGTGATAAAAACACACGAAGTCTCTATAAAAAGAATGGGACTAACATAAGACCTTTCTAATAATAGTGAGATTAATAAGAGATGAAAATAAAACGATATAGAAATCCATTTTGGCCAATAGTACATCAATTAAAACTTAAATATTTATTCAAATTTCATTAGAATTACCGTAGCTCTATAATTACTAATATTTTTTCTTTATCTGATCATGATAATTGACTGATAAATAAATTACAATTTATCCAGTATGAAATCAGTTTCCAAAATTGCAATCCCTTCTTCCTTCATTAAGAATGGGCATAGTATTGAAGTAAATTCTAATAGCATAGTAAAATTATTGTATTAAATACTCAAAATAACTACAAAACAAAAATGAGTGTTGATTGTAGTAACATAAGACATTTCTAATTATAATGCGATTAATGCAAGATAGAAATATAACTTGACAAACGTGTTGACAAATAGTACAACAAAACAAAACGTAAACAACATTCATTCAAAATTTATTTTAAGTTTAGAATTTTTCGCAAACAAAGTTTAATAATAATCGATTTCTTGATGCTTTTGAAATCCGAAGTGGCTTCTTTGGATTCTTATAGTATTAATTAACAATTAACCAAATTAATATCTTAATATATGAAAAGTTTAATTTGTATCAAAATTATACCTATCTCCAATAAAAAGGTTTTCGTATACTTGATCGCAGTCAACAGTAGACCTGGTGAAAGAGTCATACTCAGGGTTGATTTGGTACGGCTCGGCGCGTGTCTGAAACATGACCGTCTTAATCATTTCGGCCTTCTCCTTGTCCTGCATTCGTCTCGACATGGCTGCCACTACTGGACTTTTCAGATACGTGTATTTTTATCTCTCAAACATTGAAACAAGGGGGGAGTAGCGATATTATTAGGTGGCTGAATCATAGCCAGGCCAGTCGCTGTATACCGCATGTCAAAATGACTACTCGGCGTCCTGATAAAGCACAAGGACGAAGACATATAAAAAAAAAAAAATACCTCGTTGAATGAAAGTGATAGCGGAGTGGAAGATAATAAAAATTGCAAAAGATATTGTTAAAAAATAAACTCATTTACATCAAACACATTAGCGTATTCATTGATTAATATAAATACTATTTAACATACAATCCCTTATTCATTATTCATTCCATGATATACATATATGTTGTTTATATTTTAAGAAGTCAGCAAGCAAAAAAAAAATAATAATAATAAATTATCACCTGCTCTGAGCAGTTATCATTGACAATGATCAGTTACTATTTTAATAACCGACCATTTATATAATCATTTAATTGAGTTCGTAATTAATATTTTATCTTACAAATCTTACAATTGTTAGTGTCATTATAATATAATAATAGCTCACTTTCAATAGATCGTAAAATCTAAATAATATCTCATTAATGATCATTGGTCGGCTCGGTAATTCGTACTTAACAATCTGAATAGAATGCAATGTTACTTGTTATTATGGCGAATCAGTCAAATCAAATGTTTCTACGTCGGAGAGAGGTGATCAAACCGTGTTACCGTCATTAGGGGGCAGGCTTTCTAGTTTAAGCCCCCTCTGCGATAAATAAAATAATATATATATTTTTTTCATTGGTCCATTTTTGTTTCTGTGGGTTTATCTGAGCCTAATATGTTCTCTTATTAAACTATAAAGCACATACAGCTACTAAATGTAATCACGAGGTGAGATATAAAAAAAAACTTAAAGAATTACTGTAATACATACAGCCGACTAACTCCCGATAATTCGAATTTTATCGAACTCTTCAGCTATTAACTTCCGTAAATCGAAAAAATGCTGTACTTTGATAGCTCGATAACTTGAATTCCTTTTCGCAGCAAGAGGGATGGAGAACGTTGTATAATTCAAACTTCCCCTCTTTATAATTTGAAATTTTCTAGTAATATATTATATTTAACATTTATGTAAGCTCACATATATTTTCCAAAATACGATAAAAACTCAATTATTCTATTTTTTTTTCTCTCTCTCTTGATAATTCAAACTTCTTGATAATTCGAATTTTACTTGTATACCCTTGGATTTCGAATTATCGAGAGTCGACTGTATATAGATATTACAGCGACAATAATTCTTTTAGAAAGAAGGTTATATATATATATATATATATATATATATATATATATATATATATATATATGTATGTATTATTATATATATATATATATATATATATATATATATATATATATATATATATATATATGTATTTTATTAAATATACATTTATATAATTATTATTTTTTTAATTTATTTTTTGTGAACTGGCTTCTTAAACATTATTTCATATAGTTTTATTTTTCTTCTAGAGTAATTACCGTTATTGAAAAAATAAAAACCTCCCTCCCCCCAAAAAAAAAAAATAAATAAAAATCCGCATCTGCTTGTTATCGACATAGGAATTCGAAGGCATAATTGATAAGACCTATTAAGATCAATTATTTGCAAAATAAATGTATCCAATGGAAATTATCAGCTTTTTCATGTTGGAAATCCTATGAAATTTGTATAAAATCTGTTAATTTATTTACTTTTAATTATGAATATATAGTTTTTCCATATTCACTCACACTAAAACACACAGAACTAGACAAACAGATGAGCAGCTACTGTTATTGCTTATCGTTCATTTGTTTATCAGGCGATTAAAACCTGTTATTTAGTATTAAACTCGTTGAACTTTGTACAGTCAGTCTTAATATATTAAATAAATAATAAATGTTTAACTTTTGATGCCTGTTTAATAAATGAGTTTGAGATATATGTTAATATGAACTTTTTTGTTTATATCTTGTTAGTGAACACATACCTAAAATAGTGCCGTGAAATTACGAAACACCCTGTATTTATATCCAGTTGGCTAATTATTTAATAGAACATACAGGATAATAAACATGATAGGAATAGATAAGCGTAATGAAACAATTCTTTTTGGATTTGAATTTTATTTATCTTTATCTTATTTTATTTATCTTTTAGGGCTCATAAAGATAAATTAAAATAATAAATTCCCTACAGTTTCCAAATGGTCAAGGTACGCCATTTATGGTGGAGCAGTCTTATTTTCACCCAGAGGCAGTGAAAAATTGATGGAATAATGCATTATTAAAATCACTTTGATATTTTATAGATAATTTGAAGTCTAGCGCACGTCATAAGGGCATTCATGAAATTTTAAAATTAGGCAAGGAAAACGACACATTGCAGACGGCTTTGTATTCAAAGATTTTGCTACTTTATAATTTTCTTAAAGTTATCGATTCTCTCTCCTCAGTCACCTGACATGAATCCCATTGAAAACTTGGGGGAGTTTCTGGGTCGTCGTGTGAAAAGTGAAAAGTTCAATGCCTCAGAAAGTTTAAAATTTGGAATAGTTCATTTCAATGAATTAAAATTTTTAATGAAAAATTCAAGATAATGATATGAATATTTATTTATATAGTGGTTGATTTGCCTATTGATCATAAATAAATTAATCAAAAATTAGTATTTGATTTTACATTTATTTGTACGTTTCGAGGAAACTTTGTTCTCCTCAGCAATAATTATTCACCCAAGAAAATGGGTTAGTCAATATTGACCTAAGAAAAAAAATATGTTTAAGTAAAGATTGACAAATCCTGTTGAATTGTAATTTTGTGGCTAGCCTATTTTCTTGGGTGAATAATATATTACCGAGGAGGGGAAACGTACAAATATATTTTGCAATCAAATACTAATTTTTAATTAATTTATTTATGACAAAAGACAAATGAGCCACTATAAAAAGAAAAAAGGTCAAACAAGCATAATGAAACATTTATTAATATTATTTTAAATAACTATTTAAAACATAACCATTGAAATCATTGTTGTAATTCAGGATATATTTCATTCAAGAGTGCCCATACCTCTCAAGGCATATGCCTCCCTGAAAAATAAAATAAAATAAAAAAAAAACATCGTTGCTCCCTTCTTAAAATCGGTGGAAATGACAGTAAAATGATAAAAATTGTAGTTTATTTTTTCATTGTTCCGTTGTTAGAAAGTTCTTTTCAATTGAAACTTTACAAAAATATGGTTCTCTCCCTAAATTCATAATACCGCAAATACATGCTAACTCAAAAATATATAAATCCATAAAAATAAATTCCCTCAAAAATTTCGATAGAATTTTGTGCCATGAAATCCATTTCTGGGGACCCCTTGTTTCATTGCAAACCGCATCTTCTCAAATACAGATTGATAAAATTTTACAATTTTTGATGATCTTTAAACCAAAAAAATACATTTTCTCGAAAGCGATCCTTTTGGAGAGACTATAATTTTTCACATCACTGTAATATGTAATATTTTAGTAGATTATAGATTATTATAATCTATAGTATTATATAGATATAGGTCCTTGTCGATATTTTCGATTATTATTAAAAGATAAAACTATCTTTAAAAATTAGATTTTTTTTTTTATTATTTTACAGTATAGATAACAATATCGATTAATCAAAAAAAAAAAATCATCAAATATATATTTTTCTTTTGGAAAGATCTCTTTTTCAGGCAAAGTATTTAGGAATAATTTAATAATATTAAGGAATAAAGTTCTATTCAATAGTTATTGTCATGTTTACACACGTTATTTTATTTTGTTACGACTAATTCTTCTTATACACCAACTAATTGTATTTATGGTATTTTTAAGTTAATTGCAATATGTGTAAATAATGATTCACAAGTCAATAATAGTATTTTAGTACTTTCATATTAGTTTATTTTAAATTGAAATTTCTTTTCAATTGAAACTTTACAAAAATATGGTTCCCTCCTTAAATTCATAACTCAGTAAATATATGCTCCCCACAAAATTACATTACACCATTATTAACAGGAAAATTTGGAAACACATATAAACAAAAATGTATTTGTTAGTTTGTTTAAACCACTAATTTCCAAAAGTTCTTCACCAATTTCTTTGAAATTTTGACACAAAGTTGCAATCAAATTAAGGATTGTTTTTATATACATGTTATTACCAACCGGCCTTTTGTTTTGAAATGGCGGACAGTAGGCAAAATTACGGATTTAGGTGGACAAAATTATATTATGGTCGATTTTAATGTTTAGGGGTCGCTGAGTACGATAAAATAGTTTAAAAACATTACATCAAGATCTGAGAGAATGAGAAATTACCTGAAGAATGGAAAGAATCTATTTTTATTCCGATTCAAAAAAAGGGCCCGAGGACGGACTATTATAACAATCGAGGAATTTCACGCCTTCCGGTATGTTATAATATATCCACTTTAATATTAACTAGTCGAATCACGGAATGCGCCGTGGAAATTATCGGGGACAACCAATGGGGATCTTGACGGAATCGTTCGACTACTGACTGATCAAATATTTTTTTTACGGCATATCTTAGAGAAAAAGAACAACGGTGTTGTTCACCAGCTGTATATCGATTTCAAAAAGACTTACGATTCTATTGACCGCCAGAAACTGTATAACATTCTAATCGAGCAGGGGATTCCAAAAAAACTAGTAAATATAATCAGGATTTGCTTGACGGAAAACTCAATAAAGTTAGAATCGGTAATAATGTGTCCGAAAAGTTTGAGGTTCGTTCGGGTTTAAAACAGGGTGATTCCCTTTGGTAATTTGGCATTAGAACATACCATTAGGGATTTAATACGTACTGAAAAAAGGTTGGATCTGGGTGGGACAACATCCGTACTGGGTTATGCTGATGATCTGGTACTGTTAAGCGAAGACGCGGAAACTATAAAACTAAATACGACATCGTTAATGAAAGCCGGTAAAGAACTTGGGCTCGAAATAAACACGGATAAGACAAAATATGTGGTTAGCTGAAAAAATGGCGATATTGCTGGTGACATAGACATAGATGGTAATATTTTTGAACAGGTATAGGAGTTTAGGTATCTAGGGTCTACGATAACTTAATATTTTTCTGTGACAAAACTACTCACCTCGCGCCTCTTGTCCCAGAACTTAAAAATTAGAATCTATAAAACTTCTGTTATTATCTTACCTACAGTTCTTTATGGATGTGAAACGTGACCGTTTGCATTAAGGGATGAGCAACGTCTTT